AATAATTTTATTCAAGCGTTTTACATTTTTCTCCAACATACTGTGTTTATCATTATGAGAGCTGCTTGTTGAATAACTTTAGCATCCCAGAACAGTTGAAGAGCATGTGGGGATGTTGATAAAATGTAGAGATGGGGTCCGAGAGTCTGCATTTCCACCAAGCTCCCAGGTAATGCTAGTGCAGCTGACATGCACAGCACTTTTGATGTACAGAGTTTTAGAGCAGCGGTCCCCAGCCTTTTTGGCAGCAGGGACCGGTTCCGTGGAAGACAATTTTTCCGTGGATGGCGGCAGTGAGGAGGGGTGGGGGGGAGGTGTTGGTTCAGGCGGTAATGCGAGCGATGGGGAGCGGTGGGGAGCGGCAGATGAAGTTTCGCTCGCTCACCCGCCGCTCACCCCCTGCTGTGCAGCCCGGTTCCTAACAGGCCACGGACCAGTACTGGTCTGCGGCCTGGGGGTTCGGGACCCCCATTTTCAGGCCCATCATCTTCGCTTTTCAGTTGTCGTAAATACAGCACTTTAAAAATTCACATATGATGCTCTCAATAGATATTTCATCTTATGCCAGAGACCCCCCCATCTGCATGATAAAGGATCTTTATTTTTTATTTATTTATTTTTTCTTGCGTTATGCGGGCCTCTCACTGTTGTGGCCTCTCCCATTTGCGGAGCACAGGCTCCGGACGCGCAGGCTCAGCGGCCATGGCTCACGGGCCCAGCCGCTCCGCGGCATGTGGGATCCTCCCGAAACGGGGCACGAACCCGCGTCTCCTGCATCGGCAGGCGGACTCTCAAGCACTGCGCCACCAGGGAAGCCCCAGGATCTTTATTTTTTAACATCCACAAATAAAATACTTTATTTCTTTTTCAACAGATGGTGTTGGAACAATTGAATAGCCATAGTTAAAAAAAAAAAGAAAAAAGAAAAAAAGAACCTTGACCTAATCCTCATACTTTGTACAAAATCAACTCTGGATCAATCGTAAATCAAAATGCAAAATATGAAGCTACAAAGCATTTAGAATAAAGCATGGGAGAAAGTCTCTGTGACCTTGAGTAATACAAACGAGTGTAGATTAGAGGTAGACAGTAACAAATTTATTACAGTTTGGATGTGCAGGGCAAGGTACTAAACTCCTGTTCTACTTGCCAAGGAAGACGGGAAAGGCCCACAGTGGGCAGTGGAGAAGCAAGCGCGGCCCCTCGGGAGGGACGTTTCTTTTTACGCCGTGTTTCATTAAGTGTTTATTAGCCCTTGGGGGGCTTGTGATAATCTTAATTCAAGTTTCATTGCATAATAAAGCGACAGGGACATCCTGCTCTCAGCATGACAGCCAAGGGAACTCTACAGATCCACGCAAAAGTGAAACCGGAGAAAATAAGGTTTTAAAAAAAATGCAAACAGCCTTTCTCTGGAAATGATCCTGAGCCATTTCATTGAAGAAACATTTATTCCATAGAATCTACCAGAACTTGGTAAGAACTATGAGCGTCTGTGGTCTTTGAACCAAGGTGTGTGCCCTCTCTCCCCGCTCCGGCTCAGCAGGGCAGAAGCCCACCCCAGGCTGGGGGAGCCACACACACAGGGACCCCCGCTCCTGGCATCCAGCTGCTGGGCTACCTTCCCGGGAGGGCAGCATGTCAGCGTTTCTCATCCTGCCCCCCCCAGAGATCTGTGTTTGGGGCTAAACAGTGAGTGAATGTGGCTGAGAGGTGGGGGGGGGGGTCCCTTCTCCGGCTCAGACCCCCTCGTGGGACCAGACTGCACATTGGGCTCAGAGCACTGAGGATGCTGGTTCCCTGTTACCCTTGCTGTGGCTTGTGGCAGGTGGAGTGGTCCGTGCAGTAAAAGATCATTTTTTAGAAGTTTATCGTATATGTATATATTTCTAAATTGTTCAACATATATACTTTGTGTAAGTGAAGACAGGCTAAGTTATGCTGCAGTAACAAACAGTCCCAAAATGTCAGCAGCTTGAAACAGCTCATACAGGTTCCCCCCGGGTCTACTTAGAGCTCTGGTCCACATCATCTTCCCTTTGGAACACGGGCTGATTCAGTCCCCACCGTTGCCAGAGACCAGAGCAAGTGAAAGAGATAGGAGGAATTGTGCTCTGGTTCCTAAAGACTTTCTCCCAGAAGTGACACATATCACTTTTCATGTTTATTGCCCAGAGGAAGTCATGTGGCCGTGAGTAACTTCAAGGGGCAGAAGTGTTATCCTACTATGAGCTTAAGTGCAGGAGAACCAAAACCTTTCTGAATAACCCTGATTACTACTACACACATACTTAGTTGCTTTTGAAAGCGATCATTAAAAGGCTTTCAGTGAAATCTTGTATTTGCATTTTATGTTGTCTTACCTTCCCCTCACAATTACTGAATCTGTATTAAATTTTGGTTTTGGGTGCTTAAAATAAAGATTCTCAGGTTGTCCTTTCTAAACATCAAAATTTGATATTGATCAACGTTGATTTGCTAGTCAATGATTCCCACTTAGGCTGCACATTGGAATCACCTGAGGAGCTTTTTGTTATTCCAGGTCAGCCTCAGACCAATCAAATTAGAACCTCTGGAGGTTGGGACCCTGGCATCTGTAGTTTGTAAAACTCCCCAAGTGATTTCAGTCTGTATGTAAAGTTGAAGTCCCTTGTGTTAATCTATCTTCCCTAAAGAGTGCTTTGTGGTTCAAGATAAAGTAATTGAGAGATTGCCCCCAAAGAGAAACTTTATTCGGGCTTGAACGTGAGATGAGCTGCTGTTTTCTGAGATGTAATTTAGGGGTCAACACCTTGCCTTATGTTATCGTCTCTTTTGTATTGTTTTGTTAAACCCAGGTATGAAGGCATGCATTTTCTTATTTGTTGCATCTGATAGTCCTATTTTGATGTGTTTTCCTCTGTGATTGTAGTTTTTCCATAGGAACTGATAATCTCTAGGGAATGTGTGTGGAGTATGGAACTGAGTCTTCTGGGTGATTGGTTTTTTGTTGTTGTTATTTCGGTCGCACCACGAGGTTTGTGGGATCTTAGTTCCCCGACCTGGAATCGAACCCAGGTCACCACAGTGAAAGCTCTGAGTCCTAACCACTGGACCACCAGGGAATTCCCTGGGTGATTGTTGCCTTTGCTAATGCTGGCCCTTAGGAGTTTCACCATTCTGGACCATTTTCTGAGCCTGTGTGTTGATGAAACTGCAAAGAAATAGAAATTAAAGCCTTTTACGTGTGTATACATATGGAAAAATAGACACAGATACACATGTACTTATACACATTTACACACATACGTAATACTTGAATAGTAAAGAAGAATCCCAAGGATTTAGGGCAGGGAGGGGGCCCACAGAATGGAAGGAACTTGTCCAAGGCCACAGAGTGTTTAAAGTGAATGAAAATCTCAGTCTTCCCACCTACTCCGGGCCTGACTTATCCTCCATTTATCTGTGTGTGTGTGTGTGTGTGTGTGTGTGTGTGTGTGTGTGTGTGTGTTGAAGTGTGTCCAGGATGCAGAGGGATTACTTAGCATTTGTTTGGAGATTGGGGGGCATTGCCCTGCTTCTGTTCATTTTCTTTCCTGAAGTTGTTGGCTGTGGCCTCTCCTAGTCAACTCCAAATTGTATTTGCAGGAGCCAGAAAGTGCTGAGCACACATCAGAGTGTGGGTAATAGGGCCGTTTCCTAGTTCCCCAGAGCCCCTGGACTTGTTTGTGGATTGTGATCCGCGATTCCCTCTATCCTGCCCTTTCAGAAAGCAAACCGGCAATCAAATAGTAATTGTTTCCTTCTGTGTGGATTTCTCATTCCAAAGACTGCCATGGCAAGTAGGAAGTTGGCTTTTAAAAGAGTAGAGGAACCTGGAATTAGACGACGTCAGGCCTGCAGTGTAACCGTGGATGTGGTAGCCCTACAGCCCACATTTTCCAGCAAGAGTCCTGACTTCAAATATTTTATTCTGTTGGTTTTATAAACAATCTAAATGCCCTAGAAATTCCACTATGAACCATATTTTCTAAAGTGTTTCTTACTGATGAAAGAAGCACAGGAATCCTTTGTTAGACTCTGTTGCCCCAGTTTTGGTTTGAAAAATATATCACTGTACATATTATGCAAAGAAGACTTTTGTTTTGTTTTTTTAATGGTGGGGTTTAGAAAGGCAAAAACAGTCCTATTTGGGACATACCAATTTAGAAAAAGACCCAGTATCCCATATCTCTGGGGAAATCCAGGTATTCTTCCTCTTAGCTATTCATCCAAGCATATGTACAGACATTCAGTCCAGTTCCCCCTCACCATCTACTGGTCAGGGGGCATGATAACTATGTTAGCTAACTATGACAGGGGCTCTGCCCTCAGAGACTTCACAGCCCATAAAGGGAGATGAGATATGGATACACACAGTAATAAACACAAGTCAAAAGTGAGAGTATGTCAGAGGGTATAGAATCTCCCAACTGGGAAGATCTAGAAAGATTTCGATTCACTCAACCTCACCAGACCCCACACAGCATCCCTTCCTCTGCATCCTGTTGATCAGAGCGAGTCACTAGACCAGCCCAGAGTCAGCATCCACCTCAGGATGAGGGGAGTAGAATGCCCACACCAGGATGAGATGGATTTTTGGTGGCCATCTGTGCAGTCTACCACATTAACGTAAAAGAGGACACATTTATTAATATCAGAGCTGAAGACTGGCATCTCACCATTTTAGCGCACATGTCCTTGGTCACGGGTGAGGTCTAGCTGTGCTTTCCCAGTTGTCTGAAGGTGTGAGCTTCCCTAAGCCAGTCCCAATGGGCACAGTCATGTGCCTCTCTCATGCCCAAGCCAGGATGAAAGGTGATTTCTGCAGAGTTCACTTTGTGAGTGATTCTGCTGAGGCAGAAGTGGTTCCTCTAGGCTTCTTATCCATCCCTTTCCTCTCCCCTTTCACTAACTTTGCTGTTTATCAGCCCTTGGCGTCCACCCTTCTCACCAAGGTTCCCGCCTCTCTCTTGTTCCAGGCACTAACATGGAGGTAGATATTAGCGATGGTACCTGTGAGCCTGGACTGGCCTCCGCGGCTTCCTACATGAACCCCATCCCGTTGCTCCATCTCATCGAGGACTTGAGGCTGGCCCTGGAGATGCTGGAGCATTCTCAGGAGAGAGCAGCCCTCCTGAGCCAGATCCCAGGTCCCACAGCTGCCTACATAAAGGAGTGGTTCGAGGAGAGCTTGGTGAGTAGGCCCGTGGCCTGGGTGGGGAACATGGTTACGGAGCCCCTGGCATGCCACCACCAACTGGGGCTGTTACTTCATCTGTGCACTGTCCAGTCTTCTCTTGCTTCCTGTCCAGATTTGGCCAACCCCCAGTGGGTGGTGGTCCTTCCCAGCAGAAGGGTAGGGCCTGGTCAAGCAGCTTAAGCTCCACAGTGAGCCTGCCTGGGCCCTCCCGTTGTTCTCCTGAGAAGGGGAAATCCAGGGCCAGAGAAGAGCGAACATGGAAGGTGTTTCCCCCCAGATAGTACATGCACTATTTGCTGTGTTATAATCCCTAGCTGGGGTCTCTATTTTCAGCTGAACCCACCATGCCCCTCGTTTCTTACAACAAACTAGAACCTTGTTGCCTCATCCATCCCTTTATTGCTGCCCCTACTCTTCAGGCCACCTTGCCCTAGAAGTCCTCCCTGCCCCTAGAGTGGAATGCAGGTTTTCTGACTCTCCTTCTGCCCTCTCTAGATCAATCCTGCACACCTGCTGGTCTCTAAGGAAGCAGATGAGTAACCAAAGCTGTAAATTTTTGGCTTTTGTTACCCATCTCCTTCCCTGTGGAGAGCAGCCAGTCAGCTTTAAAAGACGAGTAATATCTGAGGGCTTCCCTGGTGGCGCAGTGGTTGAGAGTCCGCCTGCCGATGCAGGGGACGCGGGGTCGTGCCCCGGTCCGGGAAGATCCCACATGCCGCGGAGCGGCTGGGTCCGTGAGCCATGGCCGCTGAGCCTGCGCGTCCGGAGCCCATGCTCCGCAACGGGAGAGGCCACAACAGTGAGAGGCCCGCGCACCGAAAAAAAAAAAAAAAAAAAAAAAAAAAAGGACGAGTAATATCTGGGAACGGGTAAGGCAAGGAACTAGTCCATGCTGGAAATGATCTGGATTTGCATCCAGTCCAGGGCTGGGCAGCCAGAGGGAGCATGTGATTATTACCTAAGCTGAGCCTGAGGATGAAAGCTGGGATGCAGTCTTCTAAAGCTAGAGTCCTGTGGATCTGATTCAAAATTGGAAAGTATGCACAGAGATAGGATGACAGGAACAGGACCACTAAATTGGGAGGGGCAGGTTGATGTTGAAAACCACAGACGAAGGAGGTTGAGATCCTCTTTTCTGGAGGCCAAGTCATTTGTGATTAGACAGGTTATATCCCAGATGTCCTAGCTACTCCTGTTCAGGAGTCTGTCAATACAGTCTTATCCCCATGCCTTCCTCTGAACACCGAAGAATTCTTTATTATACTCATTTTATGTGTTGTTCAACATTTTCATTACATAGGTTGTCTGCCTGGAGTTCTGTAGCATACCCATAGGTAGGGGGAATAACGGCCTTCCAAAGATGTCTACATCCTAATGGCCAGAACCTGTGAATAAGTTACTATATGTGGCAAAGGGGAAGGAAGCAGGTGGAATTAAGGTTGCTAATCAGTTGAGTTTAAAATAGGGAGAGCAGCCTGGATTATCCAGGTGAGCCCAGTGTAATCACTGGCGTCCTTATAAGTGGAAGGGGCGGCAGAAGAGTCAGTGTCTGATGGATGTGGTGGGGGAAGGAGTCGCCCGTCACTGCTGCTGGCTTTGAAGGCGGGAGGGCCAAGAACCGAAGAATGCAGGCAGCTGCCGGGAGCTGGAAAACTGGGCTCTCCCCTGGAGCCTCCAGAAGGGAGAGCAGCCCTGCCAACAGCTTGATTTTAGCCCAGTGAGATTCATTTCAGACTTCTGACCTCCAGATCTATAAGGTAATGACTTTGTGTTTTTGCAAGTCACTAAGCTTGTGGTAATTCGTTACAGTAGCAACCGATAATGCCCAGAGAGGAAGGTGAAGGTTGCTGGATGGGTCTCGGGTAGGCCTGATACAGGTCAGGTTCGCAAGCTGGCTCCTCATTCCTCCCCCACATGAAGGCGGTTCTTGGTGGTCCTCTCAGACTTGTGCCGATAATGGGACAGAAGTCCCCACCTGCTTCTCCGCTCACTCTTTTAACCAGATTGGGAGTGGCTGGGGGATGGCTTCGGTAGTTTAGTTCTCTTTCCCACAGCAGAAGGGTCCCCCTTTCCTTCGCTAGAGAGGAACTCTCTGGCTGTTCCCGTACTTGCAGCTTTATGATGTTGATCCTGACTTCTCCCCTGTCATGTCTCACCATCTTCTGCCCACCTCTCTTTGCAGCTGCGGCTTTCCAGCTCACTTTACACCTGGTACGGGCGCCCATCCCTCCCTGCAGTCCTGCTAAGTACTACTGACTCAGGCTGTAGTGTTTACAGAAAATTTTATGAAGCTTCAACAAGAAAATGATAGGTCCATAATTCCTCAGTCTGAAACCCTTGGGTCCCCATGCATTTTAGAACTCAGAGCTTATTAAACTTTAGAAAGGTGAGACAGTGCATGTGTACTGTACAGTATGTACCATCTCTAGCAGATACAGGGCAGGAAACGTGAACATTTCTTCAGCAAAACTTGTGAACATCTGCATGAAGTGGGATAAAGAAAGACTACAAATACATAATTTACAGTGACTATTTTTACCTTGTATAGATGTGCCTGAATTTATGGAACCATTTCTCTAATGTTGAATTGAAATTATTTTTAATCTTTCACTAATGATATGGCACCGCTGCACAGACTGTCTAGAAGTATTTGTCGTTATATCGAAATATTTTCCGATAGAATCGTGAAAGTAGAATAATAGAGTTAAAGTAGGGTTAACAGACAAAATACAGAATGCTCAGTTAAGTTGGAATTTTAGATAAACAATGAATTTTTATTAAGTATGTTTCATACAGTTTGCTAAGTCTGGCAACTCTGATCAAAGATATTAATCTTTAAGCCTTGTGACACATTTTTCCAAACCACTTTTCAGAAAGATTTTACTCATTTATATTTTCATTGGCAGGGTTTGAGGTATATCCTGATCAACAAGCACTAAGATTGAAAAAATAGCTTTACTAATTTCATAGGAAAAATGGCTTCATTTTATCTTTGCATTTCTTTGTTTAGTAGGAAGGCTAAATTTTTTTTATTAGCTTATTAATATTCTGTACTGTCTCCAAACTTTTGATCTTTTACCCCAATATGAAAAAAAATCCTTCTCCAAATATACATATTCATATATGGAGAATTGTCCTAATATATGTAAATTATAAAACATAGTCCCAGATAGAAAATCCTTTTTAAAGGACAGGTTAAGGAAATAGCTCCTAGAGACTTCCCTGGCAGTCCAGTGGTTAAGACTTCACCTTCCAGTGCGTGGGGTGCGGGTTCGATCCCTGGTCTGGAAGCTAAGATCCCACATGCCTGGTAGCCAAAAAACAAAACATAAAAACAGAAGCAATATTGTAATGAATTCAATGAAGACTTTAAAAATGGTCCACATCAAAAAAAAAACATTAAAAAAGAAAATAGCTCGAATATTTTCTTCACACACCTCCTCCCCCCACCCCCAGAGATCACCTTGAGTCCCTTGGGTGTGCCTGCCCTAGTCTGGTCTGTTAATATCTCGTGTTCTCTCACCCCCACCCCTATTAGGATTTTAGTGTTTTTCTTATGTTAAAATGACTTTTTACTCGCCCTTTGCTTTGTGGCATTTCTTTTCCTCACTTTGTTTTAAAACGTTGTTTATTTATGGTGGTTTTTTGAGGCAAAGACTTTAAAAGGATTGTAACTAATTTTATCAGTCTTTCCTGTTAGAATTTCTTCTTTTCTTTCTAGAAGGGCCCTGCCTGACCTCTGATCAAATAATATTCACCTGTATTCCCTCTCCAGTTGGTTTATAGTTTGATTTGTATCTCATGGTTTACTTGAATTCATCTTCAATCTTTTTAGTGTGTGGTATGAAGTATGGATCTAACTTCTATAATTTACAAAAAGAGATTCTTAAAAAATATTTTTGATTCCAAAGTAGTCGATGTGGTGGTTGGTTTTTGCAAGATGCCTTGCAGAAAACAGCTTGCATTCAGATTTGCAGATCTGTTTTGGGGGCTATTTACAGTGGTTGCGGGAATGCTTGCCTTGGAGAGATTTTTCTAAAAGTTGTTGCATTCATAAAACTTTTGGAGTAGTTATGGCCATCAGCAACCTATGAATGGTGTACTTTTAGGGAGGTCAGAAGTTCATATAAACATTCCAAGATACCAGGGCTGGATGTTTAAGGTTTTGATTCTAGACAGAGACCACCTGTGTGTATTTTAGGTCTCAGCGACCTAAAGTCATTTTACAAGGCACACACATTCCATAGCTGGTCTTATCTGTGTGGAGATAGAATCCAAGGCGGTGAAGAAACCCACTGCTTCTCTTTAGATTGGTTTTAGATTGCCTTAGGTTGGTACTTTTAGTTAGGAGATGTTGCTGTACAAATTGTGGTCTGTGGACCAGCAGTTTTGGCATCACTTGATAGCTTGCCTTCAAGAAAAAAGTTAGAATTTGCCCCATCCACTGAACCATTTCCAGGTGATTCGTATTCACATTAAAGTTTGAAGCACTGCTTTAAAACCAGAGACTCGCTTGAATTATTACCAAAAAAAAAAAATCCCAGGTGACTTAAACTTGGAGCTAACAAGGTAGCTCGAGGGCTCAGGCAGGCAGTCCTGTGCCTTCTCGTTTCTAATTCATGGTATCTGTACGTCCCTTGGGTGTTTGTGCTGTTCTCTTTCGTCGTAAACCTCAGTTACTGCTTTGTCATATGCTGGCCTGGCGTGATCCAACCCTGCCTTATGACACCTGTCAGTTGGGATTCTTTCTCAGAAAGTAGCATAAACAGTAAGGAGTTTTAAATGTCACTAACGAGATGTCCAGAGGATGGGCAGTCCCAGGGTTAAATCAGTGACTCTGGGATGACCTCAAGGCTCCAGCTTATCTTTCTCCCCACCATCCTCAGGGTGTTGGTTCTTCCTCAGGTGTGTCCCCTAACAGTTGCAAGAAGGCTACTGCAGCTCCGGGTAGCCTGTCCTCACACACACACAGCTGTGTCCAGAGGTAGAATATG